TTTTCAGAAATTAGAGATTATTCTTCGACCACTATTTTGACCCAAAAATCCAAATTTGAAGAAAATTACCGACCCGAAGGTATACTGTAACCTTAACCATACAGGAACAAGAATGGTTAAAGATGAAGAAGATAAACACAGATAACCAAGAACTTGAAAAATCTAGGCTTAACTTTTCATGTTACTCAGCCATGACATAGTTCCATTCAACTTGTACTCAAAAATTGAAGTCATAATTTCTGTGGACATGTTATAATAGTGATATTTCAATACCCTGGATGACTCTCTAGCCAAGTGTCCAGATCGTCAGCAGTTGGAGCATCCTCTCCTTTAAGTACATGTCCAGTCTCCGTGTCTACTACAGGCACATGCCGATCACCTTCCGGCGTTTCATCATCATCAAAGTCAGACTTCCGCCGTTTCCTGTTGTCCTTAATTTGTTTCTTTCTCTGCTCTCTCTTGTGTTGTTGTACCATTTTTGTCAGACTGGCCACATACTCGTCAGTTTGGCCCAGTAAGTACGCCAGACGTTTGTCTTTCTTCTGATCAATCAGTTTTCTGTAGCCCTCTTCATCCTCTGCCTATAGACACAAGCAACAAAACGAACAACTGCAGTAAACTGTTAAGATATAATCTCATTTGCACTGTAGTTGTTTATGGCATTAAGTTAATGAATTTATGTGTGGTTTTGTTCATGAGCTTAAAAGAAATTGAAAAAATGTTTACTCTGAGATAGTAAGCCAAATTTGTATTACTAAACAGACAATAACCACAGCGATATTTATTGCAATGACAAAATCACATATCTAGCTTACGCATTAACAAAGTTCTTACCGGCTCCATAATCAATATTCAGTCAGTTGGCATTGCTATATCATAATTATATGTATGTGGGTCACACGATTTGGAAATTTGTTACAATGCAAGAAAATTCAGAACAGACATAACCATACCATAAGTCTTCTCATTCTCTCTTTCTCAATCCTCTCCTCTTCTTTTTTCTTCTCTCTATCTGTGATAGAATGATAGCTCATCACTGCCCTGTTAAGCTTCACCACCTTTGACTGGATGGAGCGATGGTACTCTCTAAAGTCACGAGCATGCTGTAAGATTGTGTTGAGATACTCCTGATGCTTCTGCCGTCGTTTGCGCTCCTGTTCCATCTTCTGTTGTTTCTCAAGTTTCTCTGTGATCCTGAGGATTACAGAAGGAGAATTTTAAGTTTAAACAAACCAATATATTTGTGGTCTTGAAAATGTACAGTATGCTTATTGTCAGGTCTCCGGTATAAACATGCACTCAATAAATGCACCAAGAAATAAGTTGTAAATGTACCTTGCTTCTCTCAGAGACTGTTTCTTGCTTCGTTTATATGCTTTGGAATTAAGAGCTGTTTCTAGAGTAGTGTCTCTCCTTGTACAAGCTACCACCTCAGCCCGTAGCTAAACAGAAACAATATTAATAAAAGTTAATCACTTAAAGTCATCATTATGGAGAAGCAAATAAGTGCAGTACTTAGGATGTAAGTGATGGTGTGATGGCCTGATGGTTAGGCCTCCGGACCAAGTGGTGCAGTTTTGAGCCCTGGATGGGAACTTGGTGCCTTGTTCTTTGGCAAGACACTTAACTCTCACGGTGCCTCTCTCCTCCCAGGTGTGTACATGTAAATGGGTGCTGGATTTTAATGCTGGGGGTAACCCTGCGATGGACTAGCATTGTATCCAGGGGGAAGTAGAAATACTCCTGGTCACTTCATGCTACAGAAACCAGTGTGCCTCAAGGGCTACTTGGCTCGTATGTAGACTTTACCCATCCTTACTAAGGATGTAACAATGTGATCTTTGTTAGTACTATCTTAAAATATGGTTCAGCAGCCTTGTTTCATTTACATGTATGGTGCTTGGAGAAGAAAATGTAACCTTGGAAGAAGCATACGAAAACCAATCATTCTACTAGATCTTGCGTAGCAGCACCTGCTTACCTTAAGTGACTAGCTTTGTTCTCAACCAACAAGCTGATTAGTCACTTGTAAGCCAAACTAGAGGTACCATGACTGTGTGCAAAACAGTATGATTTGAGCACTGGATTACACCTTTCAACTCTGAACTTGAGCCAAATATTTCCTTTCCAGACCTTTTTATTACCACTGAAGCAGGTACTACATTGTCAAAAACAGAACTATCTGTTTGTAATCAAACCTGTTTCTGGAAGTTTAGTAGTCTGAGAGCTCTTAATTCAATCATGGCCTTCATTCTCAAGTCATCAGGAATACTCCCTGGCAGTCCCTCCAGTTCTCTGATGCGCTGAATAATACGTGCCTGGATTCTGTACCAAAATTGCAGAGAGAATGGTTACAGCAATATTACGTGTACATATACATGTGACCCTTCTAACTGGCATTCACAGGGCTCAAAAAGAGCACTATACAGTCATCCAGGACAAGTAGATATTCTTGCCGGGCAAGTAACTCTTCATTCTTATTTCCTCAATGGGGAAGGGCCCAGACCAGTCACTGGCCAGCTACATCAAGACAAAAGGAAGCTATGACTTGCCCAGAGCAAACAAAATCTGAGATCTGCTTGTCCCAACGGCAAAGTGGAATTCAAGTTTTTTTTCATGCCTCATTCAAACAATATACAGATTGTGCATATACCAAAATTACTAAATCAATATAAGAACTGAAAGGACAAAATACTGGCTAATGAAAGGATCTTTGCAGTTTACAGAGCTATGTAAAAGGGTTTACTGCCTGATCTAGAGAGCATATGTGCATGCATACAAAGTCATGACTTGATCATGGTACTCACTTCATATGTAGTCTCTCATACGTGTCATGTCCTTCATGAAAGGAATCCAGTTTGAACAGAAACTGAAAGGGTTCTTCTTAAAATGCTACGACTGACTAACTTTTAGTTGACCCTATGCCAAAATTTTTTGATGATTTGATGCAAAGACCTTATTTTTAACAATTGCATGTAGGAAAGATTGACTGAGCACAAAAGGCTGACAAATGCTAACACTTGTGATTTAAAAGTAGTGCTAAGCATTGAATACAAATGTTTATTTTCATCAATTGAACTTTTCAGTTACAGACATTGTCTGTTCCTAACCTGTTTTCTCTTTCTTTCAGAATAGTAACAGGATCCAGTCCAACAGGTTTGGCGACAGGTGCCAGCCGTGGTTTACTAGGCATCTGTATTCCTCCTTGAGTAGTACCTGGTGGCTGTACCTTGCGTTGCTGTTGCTGCTGTTGCTGCTGCTGCTGCTGTTGCTGGGCCAGCGCTTGCCTCTGCTGCTCCTTTAGCTTTTGCTGCTGAGAGGCTGCTGCAATAGCACTGGCAGCTGCACCTTTAGCTGCCTCCCAGGATGCCGCAGTTGATGACTGGCTGGATCCAGCTGTCTGTTTGTTCTGCAACTGCTGGGCTGATTAAAAAAAAAAGGAAAAAAATGTCGTAAATATCCTAATCAAATGTTTATTTAAACAAGTCCAGATGTCCACTGTTAAGTACAAGTAGTTCTTACTAGCTACAACTGAACTACTATTAAGCTGCCACCCTTGGGGAAGTAGGCAGTGGCTGCTTAATAGGACTTTGTCATGAATTAACACAAGGCTTACAAAAATGCCAATGATTATTCAAATACAAACATTCTTTAAGGCAACATTGAATCCCGTGAAGACAATAATAAACATGTGTTTGAATGTTTTTATTGGTGGTTGATTTCTATTTTATACTCTGATCTGTCAATGCCTTTTCTAAAACACGTGTATAAAATTTGGTTGGTCTATTAAGCTGAGTAAGAATAATAAATACTCTAATTAATTGGGACAACCAAAAGGATGCCTGAGCCAGTCAATAGGGGTTTTATTTACAGTATTTGACTGACAACAACTTCAGGATAACTGGCCACTTTACAGGGGCCACTTAATAGTGAGTGACCTCTAAACAGGACTATATATAATGGCCTCAAAAATACCAGGCTTCAAAGGGCGAACAGGAACAACTGTCCAGCAACTTACCAGGAGTCATTCCAGGGACATTATAAGCAGTCTGATTAGGGACAGGTACAGCAGGACTAGCTGCTGAACTACCAGCACTGATGGGAGCCTGACTCTGAGGAGCTGTCTGGTTTCCAGGCTGATTCTGGCTTCTAGAGGGCAACTGGTTTGACTGTGAAGGTGCTCCACTAGGTTTGACAGATGGGGCCTTTCCTTGAATGGCTATGCGTACATGCTCTGGGAGAGGCTGATTACGTGCCAAGAGCTTGTAAGCCATGATCTGTGCCCTGAGTTGTAGCAACTGCGGGGAAGAAAATCCATGCACCTTTGGTGGGCCAGGCGACATCATACTTGGAGCAGGAGAACTTCTTGTCTGCATGTCTCCCATTCCTGTACCTGGCGGCATACTTCCCATGCCCATGGACATGGAAGGAGGAGGAAGTGGAAGACCATGACTGACATCTGACATGTCGGCACTTGGAGGTTTTGCTCTCATTAATGACAACAACTGTGCATATCGAGGATCTGACTCCATGCCTCTTTCCTGCATAGTCTGCAAGGCCTGAAAAAGAGAATTTTTTTCAATACATCATTAAGTTTAAGAAGGTGATAGTGCACTTGTAAGGGCATCATGTTTATACAATCCTAGAAGTTACTTTTATAGTCCGATCAAAACCTGTTAATGAAATATTACCAGGACCAAAGGAAAGCCTATATCAATATCAAATGACTGGTTAACCGCGCAGCCATGGGCTGAGTGCGGTTCATGTTCTACCCTTGGTTTATTTTTTTTTATTTTTTTGTCGGAGACCAGACGCAGATCTCCACTCGGCCAACTTTGAATTACGCAATCTGTAATGTTTACTCGCCAAACCTTGTTTTTTCAGGGTCAACAGAAATCTCAGATTACAAAATCACGCCGAACCTACACGTTGCAAAAAATCTCCTCAAAACCCTGACATCGAAGCGATATATCACTTTAGCGTTAATAGCTACCACACATTGGCAGAAGGTAAATCTATTCCTTAAAAATCCAGCTTTATCATGCTAAAATTTCAGCGAAATCGAACAAAACCAGAATTAATTAGAATTTTTTTTGTGACCTCACTCCCCAGACTTGACCTAACAAAGGGAGCAACGGTCGC